TGTATGTTCTGTATGTTCTCTGTATGTTCTGTATGTTCACTGTATGTTCTGTATGTTCTGTGTTTTAGAGCGGAACCAGCTTCCATGTGTTTGATCAAGGTCGGTTCTCTAAGGAGGTTCTACCAAAGTTCTTCAAACACAACAACATGGCCAGTTTCATCAGACAGCTGAACATGTGTGAGTATCATCAATGTCTGCTAATCGCTGATCATTGATTACTGATCAGATTCCAGCAGGGGTTAGAACCACAGAGTGACGGAGTTTGGTAACATGTATTGATTGGTCAGGATCAATGTGTTTTTTTTATACAGAAAGTCTCATGTGGACAGTTAGAGTAATATCTGTATACAGGTCAGAGGTCAGCAGGGGGTCACACACACAATGTAAATACAGGCTGAATTATAAACCACACACTGTACTATCATGATTAGACCAAAAACAAACTGACAGCAGAAAGTTTGTATCTTCTTCCATTAAAACCAGTGTTTAAAGTATATGATGGTTACTGTACAGCAGCAGTTAGCTGTTGCATAGTACATAGTATATAGTACATATAGATAGATAATCTATTTATCCTGAGGGAAATCCAAGTATATTACATATTACATAGTACACACTACATAGTACATACTATCAAGCCAGGCTCAGCCAGTGTACCAGTGAATCAGATTTAGAAATACTTTATTGATCCATTGATTGATTTGTTTAGTTGTTCTACTCACACAATGTTAAAGAATACAAATAATACTTATATTACAATATCTTACACAATATATATAGAATAGAAATGTATATATAGGCTTATACATATAAGTAAAACAATAAAAATGGAAAAATAATAAAAGCCTATATACCTTTATAGTAATAAAATATATACACTATATGCTAATGTATACAAAGTAAATGTAAATGTATTCCACAGTATGTGCTGACAGAAATAAAATAGTAATGAGTTTTAAAGATTGTGGTGTTGCAGAAGTTGCAGATTATTACAAAGAATGACTAAATAATTCAGTGTATTGCACATTGTATTGCACATTGACCCGGGTATTGCACCTTAATCAACATTCAGCACCAGTTTAATGACAATGACTGAGTTTTGGCACTTTGAGGGAGGAGTTAAAGATGGTATGAAACTTGGACAGCATACTCCTCTCTGACACCGCCAGCAAAGATGTGTATTAACTGTGTGTACCTGTGTGTACTCAGATGGGTTTCGTAAGGTGGTTCACATCGAGCAGGGCGGTCTGGTGAAACCAGAGAGAGACGACACAGAGTTCCAACATCCGTTTTTCATCCGAGGACAAGAACATCTGCTGGAGAACATCAAACGCAAAGTCACCAACGTACGTACCTGAGAACATCTGTATACTTCAACACTTGTACACATGTATACCTGTAGTGAATTTTAATTTTATGATCAATATGATAGAAATTATCAGTATGGCGTTCTCATTAGAAGGAAGAAACCACATCTGTTCTTGACTCAACCCACTGCGTACTACTAACATGTACCACATATTTGTGCTCTATATATCTATCTCCATCTCCATGGTAACAGTGTCTCTGTGCTGTGATTGGCTCAGGTGTCATCTGTGCGCCAGGAGGAAGTGAAGATGTCGGCAGATGAAGTGAACAAGATCCTAAACGACGTCCAGCTGATGAAGGGGAAACAGGAAACCATAGACTCCAGGATCATCGCCATGAGACAGTAAGAACTGATCCTAGATCAGGAACCTGCAGTCAGTCCAGCATTCAGCGAGTTGATCAATAAACCTGATCCTGTTTGTTTCAGTGAGAATGAAGCTCTGTGGAGAGAAGTGGCCAGTCTGAGACAGAAACACGTTCAGCAGCAGAAAGTTGTCAACAAGGTAATCAATACAGCAATACATCAATAAATCAATACCTGTACATCTACACTGAAGCTGAAGTTCACAATGCTAACAATGCTAACAGCATCTAAAACAGTATATTAGCATTATATATACTGTACATTATACACACTGCCACACTCCACACCATGCATCACCATAATAATACTACGCAGTCATTATATATACGGCTATATATCATCTCCATATAGTATAGGCTGTACATTATACACCACTGTACATTATATGTACTATATACTACAAGTCATTAGTATATACTCATATACCATAACTGGTCATTATACTAGTACCTGAGTATGATACAGCACTGTACACTATTACTGTAACATATCATAATACTGGTAATTATATATACCTGTAAAAATATATACACTGTCATTAATATACTCTAGTACACTTATAACACACTGTCCTTACATACGTACATTATATATACTTGTCATTATATACG